AAAAAAAAAAAAAAAGAAAGAAAACAACCCAATGTAAAAAGTGGGTCAAAAATCCTAACAGACATGTCACCAAAATTACACAGATGGCAAATAAGCATACGAAAAGATGTTCCACATCATGTTATTAGGGAAATGCAAATACCACCACACACCTATTAGAATATCCAAAATCCAAAACACTAATCCTAAGTGCTGGCAGGGATGTGAAGCAACAAGATCTGTCATTCATTGCTGCTGGGAATGAAAATGGTGCAGCCACTTCGGAAGACATTATGGCAATTTCTTACAAAACGAAACGGACTCCTACCATATAGATCCAGCAATCACACTCCTTGGTATTTACCCAAAGGAGTTGAAAATTTACGTCCACACGTAAAAAAAACTGCACACAGATGTTTATAGCTTTAGTCAAAACTGCCAAAACTTGGATGCCACCAAGATGACCTAAACGCCCTGGAGTATGTGAATGAATGAATGAATGAATGAATGAACTGTGGTCCATCCAGACAATGGAATATTATTCAGAGCTAAAAAGAAACAAGCTATCAGGTCATGGAAAGACATGGAGGAAACTTTTATGCATACTATTAACGGAACGAAGCCAATCTGAAAAGACACCATGCTGTATGATTCCAACTACATGACATTCTGGAGAAGGCAAAACTATGGAGACAGTCAGAGTATCAGTGATTGCCAGGCATGCGAGGAGAGGAGAGAGACGAACAGGTGGGGTACAGGGGATTTTTAGGCAGTGAAACTGCTCTCTATGACAGTGTAATGATGGCCACACACATTTGCCCAAACCCACAGATTCTACAACACCAGGAGTGAATCCTAACGTAAACTATGGATTCTGGGTGACAGTGATGTGTCAGCGTAGGTTCATCAGTGGTAACAAATGCACCACTGTGGCGGAGAATGTCGATAATGGGGGAGGCTGTGCGTGTGTGCAGGGCAGGGGGTAAAGAGGAATCTCTGTATCTTCCTCTCAATTTTGCTATGAACCTCAAACTGTTCTAAAAAATAAAGTCTATTAAAAAAAAGGAACAAAGTACTGATATATAACATGGATGAACCCTCAAACAATTGTAACAAATGAAAAGAAGCTAGACACAAAAGGCCACGTGTTATACGATTTCATTTATATGAAATGTCCAAATGTCCAAGATAGAGAAATGCATAGAAGACAGAGTAATGGTTGCCTAGGGTTGGGGGGGTTGGAAGAATATGGGGAGTGATATGAATGGGTATGGAGTTTCTTTGGGGGGGAAGGGATGAAAATGCCCTGAAATTAGATAGTGGTAACGGTTGCACACCTCTGTGAATACAAGAAAAGCGGGCGCCTGGGTGGCTCAGTCGTTAAGCGTCTGCCTTCGGCTCAGGTCATGGTCCCAGGGTCCTGGGATCGAGTCCCACATCGGGCTCCTTGCTCAGCGGGGAGACTGCTTCTCCCTCTCCCACTCCCCCTGCTTGTGTTCCCCCTCTCGCTGTGTGTGTCTCTCTCTCTCTGTCAAATAAATAAATAAATAAATCTTAAAAAAAAAAAATACAAGAAAAGCCATCAAATTGTACACTTCAAAGGGTGAATTTTATGTTATGTGAATTATATTTCAACAAAGCTGTTATTTCTAAAAAAGGGTAGATTCAAGCCTGACCATGTCAATAATTACATTAAATATTAATAGATTAATCACTCCAGCGAAATGACAGAGATTACAAAACAGATTAAAAAGAAGGACCTAGGGCGCCTGGGTGGCTCAGTAGGTTAAGCGTCTGCCTTTAGCTCGGGTCATGATCCCAAGGTCCTGGGATCGAGTCCCTCATCGGGCTCCCTGCTCTGTGGGGAGCCTGCTTCTCCCTCTCCTCCCCACTTGTGCTCTCTATCTCTGTCTCTCTCTCTCAAATAAATAAAATCTAAAAAAAAAAAGGACCCAACTATAAGCTGTCTATAAGAGACTCACTTTAAATATGAAAACAAAGGTAAGATGACAGTAAATGACCAAGAAAAGATATACTATGCAAATAGGAAGCATAAGAAAGGAGGAGTGACTGTCTACTACCAGATAAAAGGGACTTCGAAACAAAATATATTAAGAGATAGAAAAGAATACTTTGCAATGATAAAACGACCAACTTAACAGGCAATCATAAATGTATATATGTACCCAATAACAGAGCTTCAAACACATGAAGCAAACATCCACAGAATTAAATTATAAGGAGAAAGAAAATCCTGCAATCATAGCTGGACATTTTATACCCATCTGTAAGCAACTGATAAAACTAGACAAAAACTAGCAAAGATTCACAAGATCTTAACACTTCCAATCACACTGCCTTGCCTGATAGAAGTGAATGATTTACAAAACACTGTATATAATGACATCAGAAGATGCATTCTTTAAATGTACACTACGAAATACCATATACCCTCAAATTTTTAAAGTTTTAAAAGACTGAAATTATACAGAGTATTTTCTCTGACCAAGATGGAATGACGTTCGAAATCAGCAGTAATAAAATAACCAGGTAACCCCCACCAATATTTGGAAAATAGATAATACTCCTAAGTAATCATTGGATGAAAAGTAGAAATCACAAGATAAATTAAGAAATGTGTTGAACTGGGCGCCTGGGTGGCTCAGATGGTTGGGCGTCTGCCTTCGGCTCAGGTCATGATCCCAGGACACAGGGATCAAGTCCTGCATCGGGCTCTCTGCTCCTTGGGAGCCTGCTTCTCCCTCTGCCTCTCTCTCTCTCATGAATAAATAAAATTAAAAAAAAAAAGAAAGAAATGTGTTGAACTGAAAATAATAATGAAAACAGGACAACAGAAAATGCGTGAGGCGCAGCTAAAGCAAGGTTCAGAGAGAACTTTTAAGGTCTCCACAAGGAAAGAACATCCCAAGTTGATAACCTAAGGTTGCACGTTAAAAAATAGGAAATGGTTGGCAATTATACCCAAACAGAAGGAAGGAAATAATAAAGAGCAGAAATCAATGAAATTGGTAACTTCTAGCCACACTGATCAAGAAATACAGCAGAAACAAATTATTTGTATTGGCAATGAAAAAGGAAACATCACTATAGACCCCTCAGAGTTAAAAAGTATAAAAGGGGGAACTCTCTGCCAACACAGTTGACAACCTGGATAAAAAGCAGAAGATTGCAAGTTCTAAGACGGCTGGTGCATTTAGGGATGGGGATGGGGCCTGTGGACAGGATGATGCTGTCTGGGGAGCCACAGCCTGATGGTGGGGGGTCAGACAGGTGGAATGTGACCGCGGGGCGACAGGGAACCAGTCAGAGGTTCTCAGCAGAGAAGTGGTCTGATCAAGTTTGAGCTTTGAGGAAGAGCCCTCCAGCTGCTTAGGTATAAAGAACACCTGAGAGGGGTAGCCGGGAGGAAGGCCAGCGCCACTGCCCAGGGGAGCCAGGCCCAAAGCCCCCAGGGAACGGCGGCAGGACATGGAGGGGTGAGAGAGAGGGAGGAGGAAGGAGAAGGAGGCAGGGTCAGGGCCTAGAGACTGTGAGGCTGCCCCAGAGATGGGGTCCCGCCAGGCGGTACAGGCCATAGGAATGAGCTCTTGTCCTGTAGCCTGCAGGGCATGAAGCCAGGGGCAGCTGGGGGAGACCCGGGGGTAGAGCAGGGGAGCACCCAGTGCCCATTCTCCCTGTCCCAGCCCCTGCCAGAGGGTCTCACATGGACCCCGGAGGTTCAGGGAAGGGCAGGAAAGCCAGGCCGAGGACTTGGCGTGGCTGGAGCCAGGTGAGCTCACAGCCTGAACACACGTGAGACCATCTCAGTCCCCAGCACCCCACATGCAGCAGGGGTGGGTCCAGGAGGGGACACTTGGGCCGGTGAGAATGGGGGTGGGCCCAGGAGAAGGTCCCCGGTTTGTCTCAAGAAGGCAGGCATATGACTAGAGATGCAGAGAGGAAGGAAGCAGGGCCAGGACAAGGCCTAGCCTCCAGCCCGAGCCTTAGAGCCGGCTGTGTCCGTCAGCCTGTCAGGGAAATGGGACGGTAAGCCTGGCTAACAGTGACACGGCACGTGACCACCCCCAGTGACGACCTTCTCCAGGCCCCAACCCCAGGCCGCATGCCCATCTCACGAAGTGAACCGCCTCGAATGCGCAGACTGAGAGAGCCTGCTCGTCCACTTCTCTGTGTATGCTTAGCCGGTTCCCACTTCTCTCTCAGGGTTCAGCCTGGGTGTCGCCTACCTGGAGCAGCCTCCCTTGGGCTTCTACAGCCCCCCAGGGTGCAGACCAGGGGCAGATTTGCCTCTCTGCTTCCCGGAGCTGCCTATCACTGGGCACCTAAGGGGGGGAGTCAGGCTATGACTGGGGGAGTCAGGAACATGAACAGTGAAGGTCAGCCTACACAGCTTCTGGAACCCCCTCCTGGGGCAGGCCAGGCCCCCATCACCAGTACCACTCTGCTCAGGATGGGGTTGGCCCACGAGGCATGGTTCCAGTGGCCCCCAGCTCTGCTCCTACCCTTCTCCAAGCCCGTTTCCGGTCTGCAGGATGGGGCAGCGGTGCCCCTGCATTCCACCTGCCGGTACTTACCCATCAGGTTCTGCCGCTCTTCCTTCTTCCGGGCCTTCTGCTTGGCCTCCAGCTGCACCACTGATAGGGACGGCCCCACTGTGGGGCTGGGGAGGGCGCTGGCTGCAAAGCGGGCCAGCAGGCCCAGCCCACTCTCCTCCAGGCCTGGCGACAGGGCCCGCTCCCGGGCCCCCAGCCTATAGCCGCCGGCAGCCTCGTCCTCCTCCTCCTCCAGCTCATCCTCCTCGTCCTCCTCCTCGGAGCTCTCATCTGGTGCAGAAAACAGGGGGCGAGTCAGAGCCTTGGCCTAGGCAGGTGCCGCCCCCCACCCCGCCCCTACTCGGCCCAAGCACCAGTGAGGGATGCCACAGCTTCAGCCTAGCTCCTCACTCCTCGTCAGCCGGGGGTGGATCCAATACTAGCCCATAAATCCCCCCCGATGACCCAGTGCCCCCATCAAAGCGAGACCAAGACGTGGGCATCCTGGACAGCCCAGAGGTGGTGGGCAGCGGCTTTGGGAACCAGAGGGTTTCTGTAAGGGGAACACCAACATGCACCTGTGCTGGGGGGAGGGGGACAGACACACGGACAAGGACTGGAGACAGCTCTCTCCACCAGCTCACGCACACACGCACACACACGCCCCGACGTACGACATGGAGGCTGAGAAAGGAGGCAGGAGAGAAGGAAAGAGGAGGCCAGGGAGGGGCAGAGAGGGGGTGGGAGAGGGCCCCGGGGACTCAGGTGCCTAGGGGTCTGGGGCTAGTGATAGGAGAAGGTGGAGTTTGATCTCTTCTTGAGCAGGCTCTGGGGTCCAAAGTTGACTCCCAGCAATACCCCCAAGCTGGGAAGCCTGAGGCAAATACTGGTCCTCTGTGAGCACTTTCTGCGAGCATTTGCTCATCTGTGGCATGGGGTGGCCCTCCCAGCCCACCCACCCAGCTAAGGGGAGACTTAGGATCGCACGAATGTAGGAGAAAGCACTTTGCAGGCCTAACAAGGACCAAACAGAAAGAGGGCCAGCCTGTTCTACAAAAAGAAACTGCTGTCCCCAGGGCCAAGGGAGCCACAAGCTGGCTATGCCTCCTGACCCGCGGGGAGCCAGGAAGGGAGAGGGCACGGTCAGCCCACTCTGCACCAGAAGACTGAGGCTCGGCGTGGCCAAGCACTCAGGCAGAACTCAAACCCAGGGCTGCCTGGCTGTCTTGTCACCCAGAGTCTCCCGGAAAGAATCTAATGACGCTCCAGTCTCTCCAGCTGGTGAATAGAGACTTAGTGCTTCTCCCCAGGAACTGGCCTGCCACCCGGGGACCTACAGCCCTGAGCCCAGCAGGGGCCGTGGGAACAAAGGTGGGGCAGGTAGCAGGCTGGCAGGGAGTGCACGGAAGGCAGTGCTCCCTGCACGTGAACCAAGCTCTCCACCAAGAAGAGAGACTGCAGGGAGGTAACACCTTGCTTCTGACCTTTCCAGGGAGACAGCCTAACACCGCGAGGGCAGGCAGGCGAGAGAGCATCAGGGGCTAACTGCCCAGGGGATGCCCCAGGGACACCTGCCCAAAGGTGCCTGTCTGCCCGGACTGCTGGGAGCATGACGGTGGCTCTGGGGGCCGCTGACCAAGGGCAGGGCCGGGCAAGGCTGGAGGCGACTCTCTGCAGCAGGAAGAGGGAAGGGACATAAAGAGGTGGCCCGTATACCCCGCCAAGCTCTATTGTGGGCAGGGAGTGCCTGGGCTCAGGGAACGGAGAGGGGCAGACACAGACGGCCAACTCCACGTTCTCCCTCCACACCCCAAGCCACCTGCTTGCTTGGGTGCGACTAGCAGCCCAAAGTGGTGGCCCCGGGTGCGGCTATGGGGGCAGGGGTTCTGTCTACCGATTTTTCCAAGGGAGCCTGGGTCTCTGTTGAGTGAGGGGGGGTGGAAATGAGCTTAAGGAATCCCTGAAGGGAGCTGAGAAAGGAAGGAGGCAGAGACAGGTTTGTTAGGAGGAGGAGGAGGAGGAGGCCTGGCTCCCAGAGCAATGGATGAAGCAGGATGGAGGCCAGTGGGGCAGGCAGGCAGAAGCAGGCAGTGCACGCTTGCGATCCATTCACATTGCGGACATCACATGGTTGTCTCCGCCCCAGTGGGCCACAGCGGCAAAGCAGGCTAAGTGTAGGCAGACTTTCGGCAGCGCCTGGGTCCCCCACATCAGGCCTCCCTGGGGTTGGCCAATTTGAGCAGGGTGGTGGGCGGGGGGCTGGCTGGGGTGGGGGCACAGAGTCAGACGTGTGGCCAGTTTTCCCTTCTAGAGAACGCCTTCCCTGGCTGCTCAGGTGTGGAGACTCCAGAACTCTCTCCCATCCAGAAGGATTCCCCACCAGCAACGTCCAGTGGCGGAGGGCTGGCTCTGGGTTTCTGGATGCCCGGAATGTCTACCTCGGATACCAGCTGGCCAGCAGCAGCCCAATCCCAGCACCCTAACATGGAAAAGTGCTTGGAAGGAAAAAGCCAAAACCAGCGTTTGCTTCCCACAAAGCAGGATTGGTCTCCAGAGACCCTCCCCACCTCCAGCTGCTGCGACCCTCAAAAGCCCCCACTGGCTGCTTCCCACGGTGGCTGGTCTGCTCAGGCTGGGGTCTGCGGGGTAGGGGGAGCGGGGGGGCGGGTCTCAGGACCAAGGAAGCCTTTCTGGAGCTGTCCACACCTGAGGCAACAGAGTTTGCCAAGGGCAGAGGGAGAAAAAGTCCCAACAAAGAAGCCCAAGGTAATACAGGAAAACTTTTTATTAAAAAAAACAGAAACAAAAAACTCTTGGCTCAGTATGTGGGATTGTCTGTTGTAACTTGGTTTGGTTTGGTTTTCCAAAACCCGATCGATAAATGCCAAAGCAATCCGCTGCTGCCATAGCCGATGGGGGCAAACCCCGAGGAGGGGAGGTGCAGAGGGGACACAAAGAAAAGGGTTTTGCCTACCTACGGAGCAACGAGCCAGGCTCGGACCCAAGCTCAGTGACCCGCTGCGCCGTCTGCCCTACTCCCAGCCTTCGCTTTGCGTCCAGAGTGCAGCGTGAGAGCAAATGCAAGAGACCAAAACAGACATTCAAAGCATCATGGGTAGGGATCAAGGGTGAAGGTATGGTCAAGCTGCTGGGGGGAGAGAGCAGACACTAGAAAGCCAAGCAGTCAGGTGTTTAGTACCAGATGTCAGGAAAACCCTATTACCCAAATATCCCTGTCAAGACCTGACCAGCACACACGCGTGCGTGCATGCGTGCGTGTGTGTGTGTGCAGCTGGGGGGGGGCTTCCTCCCCTCCCCCTAGCTGGGCTCTCTCCACTGCTGCATCCGGCCTGGTCTGAGGGCCCCCTGGCTCCCTCTGCCCACTCCGGGCAAACGGCCCCATGCTACGACATCTGAAGGGGCTGCCTGCCTCTCTACGGGGTCTGAGCTGGGGCAGGAGAGCTTAAACACGTGGAAGCTGGATCTCTGGCTTAAGGGGAGGAGCCAAGGGGGGGGAGGAAGGGGTCAGGGAGGGAGGGAGGAGAATGGTGAACCAGCCAGACTGGTCCACAGAGGCCAGGGCTAGGGGCAAATGAGGCTGACTGGCGAGTTAGTGACCTCCCTGCTCCTTGGCCCAGACTCCATTCCCTCACGCGTGGCACAGCTCAAGAGAATGTGGGTCCCAAGGGCACCTGGCTCCCTACTGTGCCATCTCCTAGTCATCCAAAATGGATGTGGGCAAGTCAGGATGGGAGGCGTGGGCAGGGAGAAGGCAGACCAGGAATGGGAGCAGGGCCGGAAGTAGGGTAGCATCTGGTCCCAGGGCCTGAGCCAGTGCCCGTCCAGATTGACCTCTATTATGCCTGAGCCTCACTCAGGGAGCATGGAGTCTAGGCTCTGGGAATCCCTGAAGGGGGTCCACCCTGAAGCAAATCCTAAACCAGGGTGAGGAAACATTTCGGGATCCTCTGGCTCCCCCACTTGCCCCTAGGACGCTTCTAACGTGGGGAAGTCAGAGCCTGGATGTTCACAAGGATCACTGAACCCCACCCTCTCTGCACTGGTGAGGCGGAGGAGGGCCCGGGGG